TATTCCGGCCATGAGGTCACGATCTTGACCACTAGGCTACCGCGGCCATCTACTATATTATCAGAAGTATGGTAAATAAGGGAGATAATCGGTGAATTGGATGGCGTGCCAGTACATGATAGGCGTTAGATACAAACGGATACGTTGAGGTTCTTTAACTTTTAAGGTTACACAAATAAGAATGGCGAGAAATGGCCCAGAAGAAATTTTACTGATAAACTACACTGAAGATATTAGTGAAGAGCATTCAAATCTATCTGAGTGAACTACTCAGTTGAAAAAATGAACATAAGTATTATTATTGTAAATAATAATACGTATGTTCGGTCAGGGAATGCGGTCCTCGCGTATTATTACTTCTCATATTTTACTGGACTTCATAATTTTGAGTTTCCACCAACTGAAGAGATCTGCATTTGAGTTTGTATACCGTTCTTTTAAGTTCCGCACCGCATCAAAGGGGGAAGATTTTGACTCTAGAAATAATTAAGGTATAATAAACTCAAATACTTGGTGTTTCTTTTGAGCCACCAGGAAAAAAATTCATAGCTCGAAAGAAATAACGCCGGCCACGGGTTTCCGACCGTGATTATTCCCATCTAAAACGTGTGGTTGCGGTAGACAAGTGGTCAAGGTAGTGGACTCGTGAACTGCGTGTCATGAGTTCGAGTCTTGTACCCCTGAAGACCCACCGTACAAGGGAAGCAATACACGTCAAATCTGTCGAAAACTCAAATGTCCTCCCTTGGTATGGTGTGATAGTTAGGAGAGGGGGTGCCAGCCCTGGCGTTGTTCTCGTCACTTGAACATGGTTCAAAATTAAGAATTCCGTCACCCAAGTAGCTTAACAGAGCGACATTAATATTCACTCACTCTCACTCACCCATCTACGCGGTAACGAATTTTTCTAACGTACCTCAGGTAGGTTTAAATTTGACTCCTAAGTCTAACCTATAATTTCTTCATTATAAGTAAATTTAATTATAAGTACATTTTAAATTATACTAAAGGATTTTTTGCGCGTGGGGAGGCGGGGTTAATATAATATTAACTGTTGTAGTATTATAAATGTGAATACCCTATACTGAAACTATTAAAAAGTAAATTCCTCATATTTTCTTTTTTACGGTATAATTTTCCTGTCCATGTGAACTTATTGTAATTTCAACTATAATATTGCTTAGTAGGTTTCTGCGAGTTTGAAATAATGGATAAAAAATCAATTTAGAAATCGTAAGCATCAACAACTTAAGATGTTATGTTTGATCTATTATTATAAATAGCGACTGAAAAATATTCAGTGAAAAACATCTCAACAAGAAATCAAAAATAATTTTTTAAATTTAAAAAAAAAAGCTACTTTTTAATTGTTTAAAAACACAATATGAAAACTGTTCAAAATATTCTAAACAATTTAAATACAAAATAAATAAAAAAAATTTAGTCATTTTTTGAAAAAAAAACACTTACTATTAAAATTGTCGGAAATATTCTAAACAATTTAAATACAGAATAAATAAATTTATTTTAGTCATTTTTTTGGAAAAAGACTTACTATTAAAATTGTCGTAAATATTCTAAGCAATTTAAATACAGAAAGGATAGAAATTCGTTTAGTAATTTTTTGAAACAAGATTTTATCAGATTTAACTATATATAATAGCTCGATATTTGAGAATTAATTTATATCATAGAATTGTTATTACATACTGGAATTTAAAATGATAAAAATAAAAAGTTCACGGAAATATATTCTTAAAAAGAGAATGAACACGAAGCTAAAAGTAACGCAAAAATTAAGAAAGTCTTTCTTTTAAGCATAATAATTCTTATCACTTACTTCAGAATTCATCATACATGGAACAAACGTCATGGAAAAAGCATAAATCCCCTACATTAAAAATCAAGCACATTAACAAAAATATCCATTATCGTTCTTAGTTCCTCTGTAAAAGATAATAACCATTGCCAACACACACATACACACGTGTCTCATTCATTCCTTAAAAAAATAATAATCTAAATGTGTAGTTTTGTCGAAAGAAACTAAAAATTCTCATCGTTCGCAATCATACGCAACTGTTTTTAATGATGTAAAACAAATCAAAATAAATTCTAAGAAATCCCCTTTTTCCGTTCTCCAATTCTCAAAAGAAAGGAGGGGAAAAAAGCATGACTTTTGGTCCTTTTACTACTTCAATAATAACGTTCGTTAAAAATAAAATACGAAAGTGAGTTTCGTCAAGAAAAGAAATGTCGGAATGGTTTTGACAAGGGAATATTTCCAAGTTAATCTTCTAGAAGTGAGCTTATATTTAAAAAGGTAATGAGGCACAGTTAAAGATTCAGAAGAGGTCTCTGTTGTCTTTTGCAGAAACTTAAGCAGGACTGTTAAGTAGTATTAAAAAAAAGCAGTTTATCTTCTCTTCCTCTTTTGGAATTTGACGAGATAAAGCTCTCGTTCCTGATTTCAGAATCGAGTTTTTGAAGTTTGAATTAATTGAAAAAAAAATGCATTCTTTAACAATTTGATTCAAATTCATGACAATCCATTTTTTTAAAATTTGAATTGTAACGTTTGTTGAATAATTATGTTATTTTTAAATATATATTAAAACATGCTCAATGAATAATAAATGATTACGAAATTGTAAGAATGTTTCATATTTTCAAAGTAAAATTTGAAACTTATAGTAAACTATACAGTAATGTATTTATGTTATTTAATATTTATACTATCATTAATATATGTAGTCAGACCCCTCTATTTAACGAAATCGCTAAATCTCGGAAAAACGTCCATTACGTAGAAAATTCGTTAAGGTATCCGACAACCCTAAAATTGTAAATTTTGCCAAAAATTGACAATTTTTTATGATTTTATTTTATACACCATCTTATTATCTTTATAAAAGTACCAAATTTATTAATTTCCGTTCACTAGAGCAAAAACTACAAGCGTTTTAGTAAAAGCCGATGTCATTACTTTAAGCAAGATGTCATACTTCAAAACGCATTTGACTCGAAAAGTGTTTTTTGAAAATTATCAAACGGGGACAACGATTGCTGAAAAAGTTTTGAAAATAATTAACTGAAATTTTGTGTGCATGTCTTGTATAATAGTAGATGTGTTTAAATAAAACAGTGATTTATCAATCACTGTTTTATTACAAAATTTACAGTCCCTTATGTTAAAATAATCACTTATTTTAAGCAATTTCATATAATAACTAAGATCAAGTGCTCTATTTTTTGTAAAAATTAAAGTATCTCTTATCCTGAAAGTCATTTCAAAAATGAATAACATAGCAACACATCAGAATAAAAAATGGAAAAAATTTTCATTAATTTTTGGCACAGATTGGGTTAAGTTATTTTATTTTGTCAATTTTTACCCATTTTTTCCCAATTTAATAATAATTTCTTTTTCACTTCTTAATTTTAGCATATTTTTCTTAAAATGTACTAAACAAATCTAAAACCCACAAAAAAAAATCCCCATCCATCCATTTTTTTTTTAAAAAAAAGTTGATGCACACAAGTAGTTGAATAGTTTAATAGAGGTTTGTTAATTGAAGGTCGGACTGTATATAATTTTCCGTCGATTAGAATTTCTTTCCAATAAAGAATGATGATGTGTTACATTATAAAATAAACCAAGCAATCCATTTAAAAATATCTTTACGTAGTTTTTACTTGATGATATACATTTGTTTAAAATTTAACACTTTAAATACTACTATAGTGGGTTCTTTAGTAGTAGTGTTTAATCTAGTGCTTAGTTAACCTCTAGGGCTACTTGAAGACGTTGTTTCATGTGAAAGCCTCGTATTGTAAAATAATCCTGATGTATGTAAACTGAATGAACGACTATTAGTGAACGGATTGTGCAATTTTGAAAAGTGGTCAAGTGACGAAGATGGCACCAGAGCTAGTATACTACTGTCCTAACTTACACACCTCGTCAACCTAAAAACTCTGAGCCACGACAAACTTAACATCGCACTAGCCCCTCTATATGGATATATAAATGGAGAATTCTATTTAAAATATAACTCATATTATATGTACATATTTGAATCAATAATTCAGAAAAAATTCAAAAGTATATCTTAAAAAGAAAATATATTTTAAAATTCTCTTATCCGATTTTTAATGAGAATCTTTGAAATGAAAATTCCAGAATACAAAATGTAAATTACTTAGAAATAAGCGAATTACCTTCAATGAATTGATATTGCTTTTTAATCGCTTCATTGAATTTAATCCATTAAAACATACTTTGTATTTTTTGGCACACACATTCTATAAAAAGTATATATTTTTTTAATTCTCGATTATATATACTTCATAAAGCCGAGACATAGTATAAATAATGTTTATTTACAGTATTTTAATTAACTTTTTTTGAAGTCATTAAGGATGTCAAAATATTCCTTAAAGGGAGGAATAACTTACTTTATTTTTAATTACATTCATCCACTCGGATAAATTTAGAGTTTTTTTTTAGTTAATTTAGCTTAAAAAGATTCACATAAGCTTTTAATAAATTGGAAACTATGTATTTACGTGTATATTTTTCCTTTATTTTTTGATTTATTCATTGGAAAGAAATTATGTTGACATAATATTTTTGGTATATATTTAATAAAACATGATTACAAGTGTGAATAAATATGCTAATAGTAAATTTTACTCATTGCAGGTGGAATATTAAAAATCGTAAGTTATAATGTGATTAAACAAGTAATATAAAAAAATAAGTCTCATTTCCTACTTTGGTTGAAAAAGAAATTTTTTTATATTAGTTACATTTTTATTTAATAATTACAATTGATATAAATATGTATATGCATATGATAGAATCACAATATTTTTAGGGAAATAAAAGAAAGCGAATTTCCTTGCAATTCTCCATTTTCCTTTCTATACATGTTGTTAGACTTATTTTGGTTTGTTACTATTTATTCATTCATAAATTGCATTCTCATAAATTAGGCCATCCCAGATAGGATTTGAATCCAATACCTTTGGATTAGGAGTTTAACACGCTATTCATTGCGCTACAGGGATAAGAATAGCGATTTTCCTTTTTATATATATAGCATTAGACTATTATAGAATGCAGTAAAATTTTGGTTGTTTGTCATTACAGAATACAAAATATGTGCTACAATCGCTTCTAATTTATTTATTTTCATGCCTTTTAATATGAAGTCTCATTTAAACTTAACATGAACATTGAATTAAAATTATATTGAACTCTTTTACCAACATGATTCATATTTGTAAGGAAAGACTACTTTAAAATGTGTTGTTACTCTTTAAGCACTTTATAATTACTTTTTAGTTTATTACTTCCGCACACACAAATATATTTACTCACTCATTCACAGAGAAAGGAAGAGGCAGATATAGAGATGAATATAAGATGATTCTAACAAATAAAATCCCTGATAAAAGCACTGTTTCTTAATTAATAAATAACAAAATATATTTTTTTACTTTAACGTTTATGGTATAATGGGTGATTTAGTTTTGACTTTTTCATATGAATGTTCTTACTTTAAATTTTCACTAAAGATATCGGAGACGATCTTGTAAACATTAGCTTCGAGTGACGAAAATGAAAACTGAGTTCTAGAACTCTAATCTCCAAATTTTCTCACCTCGTCAATGAGCCCCTACAAACATAACCTTCAAGAGTCTCTCTACAGCGCGAGTTTACAGTGACACCAGGACAAGAATAGACAACTAGACAACGCCAACCTTAAGTTCGAGACTATTACCACTCGGACACCGTGACACAAAAGGAAGGAAGTTAACGTGAACGTCTCTATGCTGTTATATTGATACAGTAAAATACATTTCTTTAACAGAAACATGAGTATTGAGTAGATACTCATGGCAGCAAAAAATCTGTTTCCTAAATATCAAAAATCATCATTCAATTGTCTGTCTCTCTCTGCATGTATGACTTTATTTTTCTTGAGAGTTTAATGTTCAAAAAATCTTTTTAAAGATACCATTGATGAAATTTTAGGAATTTCAAAACGTTTTTCCAAAGTTTGGAGCTTTTTTTTAATGTCTTGAGTGGCCACGGTAGTCAAGTAATCTTGGTCGTGAGCTCGTAGTCCGGTTGCTTCCGTCGAGTCATGGGCTTAAGACCAGGTGCCACTAAAAATCAATTCTACAGAAAGAGTGAGGTAGGTTAAATTTGTCGAGGCTCAACAAATGGACTACCACGAGGAACGGTAGGTCATGTTCGTCCGTGACCAGTGGCGTAACGGAGAATATTAGGGCCCCTTGCAAAGTCAGCTTTTGGAAGCCTAGCCCCATCAGGACCGATCCTAGGGTATCCCCCGCCCGCGAGCAAAATCCTAATTTGCCACCCATCTGAGAATTTTCATATTTTGTCTCATTTTTAACGTTGATATTTTAAACTCATCTACCTGCATAAAAGTAAAAAGTAAAAGATTAATAAAAATGCAAACAGACGCAAAAGTAACTTATTTCCTATATTTTGTTTTTCTAAATTATTGTAAGACTATTATTAAATTGAAAATTTTTAATCACCCCAAACGTATATTCAATTAAAACATCCGTGTGTCTTGTATAATATTTACACTATTAGAAATTTTCGTATAGCCACTTTCGCAAAAATCATTTTGGAGACGACTTTGTTAAGCCACGAACCACAGAGCACCGCCAGAAATACATTGATAAGCAATAAAACCTTTTCTTGCAGTATATCCGGCTGTCATGAATTTTGCTGCCAAATGAAGAATGTGTATAAAGAGTAGACATTAATAGACTATGGACCAACTCAATGTGCTTTGGTCCATAGTTCATTAATGTCTACTATCCGGAACCGGATAACACATAAAATCCATATAACACATCGATCTTTTAACAACTATTTAAATTTCAGCATATTTATTCGAATAATTATAAGTTTAATTTTGAGAAATTCGTAAAAAAAGTGCTTGATTGATAGAACTATATGAGGTCTGTGGCCGCCTCTTGTTTTGGCCGCTCGCGTGCGATGCACGCGCTGCACACCTGCTAGGATCGGACCTGGATCTAATTCGTACATGGCGTCAGTCAGGCTTTGCCCCACCCCGCGCAATTCGGGTGTACGTTACACCACTGTTTACGACGCTTTACCTTGGTTAAAAATAACGAAGTTTGTTGCTAATAGCCATAACGTGGATTTGAAATACAATGCTATCAAGCCACCCAATAAATCATTAAATTTAAATCTTCAATATATATAATACACAAATTTACATATGATAAAAATATCTTGTTCCTCCTCTTTTTTGTCCATATTTAGTTTAATACTTATATCGATTTCATGCTGTTGGAGAATGTTTTAGTCTTTCAATTTGTTTTTCTTATACATCTTCCAATATATTCATCCAATGCATGAAACTTTTTTACTTGAGGTCTATCTGGTTATTTGATTGATTTTATTTGTGCACTTTTACAAAAATCTGTCGAAGCTGAATTATTATAAAATACATTAATTAACGCGAATATGTACATTGAAAAAAATGCCACGACACTTTATGATAACGTATCTAAAAAGTTTCTTGTATACGAATACGTTAAATTAATTAAAGCCTTAAAGATATATCATTTTAAGGAGACACAGTACGGTTCAATTGACAAAAATCGGTCAATAAATCAAATTTAATTTTTTTAGCCTAAACTATTTTTTATATATTTTTCTATAACCTAAAAATTTTGAAAGCTCTACACTAAAAAAACGCAGAATTATGATAGCTTTTGCGTTCGTTTTTACTCGCATCCCTATGGTAAATCAAAACTTTAAACTTATTTATCTCGGAAAGATAAAATAACTAGTTTGTCTTCATTTAAAAGGCTAAGAACTAAGAAGTATTGCTTTGATTTTTTTACCTATTGCTAATAGTACATGTAACAATAGTTGGTATGCATTTTTGAATCAAAGCAATACTTATTTTTTAAAAAATAATTGAACACAGAATTTGTACATTTTTTAAGGAATTTTCAATATGCATTCATAAAAAGAAGTATTGTACAAATATCAATCATGTTATCGCAAAACCCATACCAACTTTTGCTATGCATAGTTTGAGGTAGCTGTAAATCAAATTTCATGCGTGTACGTAGTTCTTTGTAGGAGGAGTAGCATTTTAAAATCACTTCACAAATTTGCAGTTTTTTCCTTAAAAAATTAAAAGCCTATCTTTTTATGAAATTTTGAGAACAAAATCCGTTTTACATAGCATACACACATAGGAGGCAACCAAGAAAATTTTGAAAATCCTTAAATTAAAAATTTTTGGCGACTAAAAAGACAATCTTACAAATGAATCAAAGAAAATATAAGAATAATACAATATTTGCGGAACAGTGCACACATATCCGTACAATGCATTAAATCCATTAAACGACAATCTGTAGATTATGTTCCATAAACATACTCCCAATCCTTCAGAAAACAAAATCATTAATAAGTAATTAAAACATCAAACTTTACAATTTAGTCCAAAGACTATTATCTTCCCAATCCAAAGCTGATTATCGTAAAACCCCCTTCGATATACTGGGGTAAAATACATAACTTCGGGACAAGTCTCTCAACTCTTGTTGAACACGGTGAGCTTTTGTTATGCCTGTGATAATTCCGTTTGGATTTGGAAAGACATTTTTCAGAAACAATAATCGGCTGTGCTCTGAAAAGCTAAGTAGGTAAAAGCTATTGAGTCCCGGAGAAAATTATTGGATCAACTTCGACTGGGAGGGCCCAACGTCGGCGTGCATTAAAACTAATCGGTCTCGAACTATCGCTCCGAAATCCCCGCGTGACGTCACTAACGACGTAGGCTCACGTAAATCCGTAATGCTCTGTAATGTAGCGCAAATCCCCTAAGCTTCCATCTATCTTCGAGTACTTAATGTTTTGAGCGTTATCCATGAAGAAAGCCTCATCAATCCAATTAGAAAACGGAAGGGAAATTTCAAAACAAAACTGTCCTCCTCTCTAATAGGAGCTCTCTAATTCATAGCAATATTCATCAAGGTAGGGATATGCTAATTTGCTTTTATGAAGGAATATAATTGAATACTTCAGCGTCTGGATTTTTCAAGTCCTTTAAGTAGTTATGCACGCATTAGTTAAAATAAATACTTTTCTATATTTTTGTTTTAAATTATCGTAGTTCTTTTTAAAAAAGATAATTGTCTTATTATTCTGGTTAAATGTATTTCAGTAATTTAAATTAAAATACTTTGATGTGATGTAGATTAGTATATTTCTGTAACATTTTTTTTTCCTTTTATTTTTATCGTTATGGTGTGAATTAATGGAAGACAATTGGGACAATTTTAATGAGGTATATTACTTTTAAAATGATAAATGAGAAATTTCGAAACGTTTATCAACGGGAGAAACAATTTAAATGTTCACATTAGCCTCCAAGTAATACTGAAGTAAAAAGTTTCGAAGGGTGAAAGAAAAGGTGAAGTAAAGGTTGTGATCTCACAAATAAGTTTTTGTTCCCTTAAAATTTGAAAAAATTAAATATTAAATATAATATTTCTTGTGATTAATCCGTAAAATTTAAAAACCAGTTATCTGAGATTCAAACTTCATTTCACTTAATATTTGTCGTTATAAGAGTGGTTATAATATAAACGAAACTGTATATGAATATCCTTAATTACCAAAGTTACATCAATGCTACCTTTCTGTATATCCTTTCTTACAAAAAAGGAAATACTTTCAAAACTAATATTTTTTTTAATTCATGTATGCTAAAAAGAAATCAGACATATACGAAGCCAATAACGCACAGTTTCCACTTCGTTCTACGAAATATTTCTACTTCCAATGTGTTTTTAAGCGTCCAAAGCAAATGATAGTTAAAAGGTGGAAAGTCCGGACTATAGGGAGGGAGGATATTTGAGAGTTAACCAGAACAGATTTTTCTAAATTTTTCAGTGTGACTTCAGTTGTTTTCGGTCTTGTATTATCCATAAGAATGAGTACATTGCAGATAGTAACGGGATAGCATGTTGAATTA